TATTCACGTAAATACAGATATAATATGATATAATATATAATATTCACGTAAAAACAGATATAATGATATAATAAATAATATTCACGTAAATACAGATATAATATGATATAATATATAATATTCACGTAAATACAAATATAATACAAATAAAATATAAATAAAATTGTGAATATATATTCACGTAAGTATACATATTTATAATCGTCGAATCATTTTCAGATACGCAAATAAATCGGAAGATTATCCTGATATACAATTATTTCTGTCTTCAACGGCCGATAACACGGACGGCGGCCTCTTTGGAAAGAGAGACTGCAATCTTATGGACGATTTCTACGGGAGTATGTTCGAAAATATTTTATATCAGGATTCGTATTCGATCATACCACTGTTGCTACGGCCTCGGAGCAGGGGATACCTGAAACTGCGGTCAAAGAACATTAACGAGCCACCGATCATCGTTCCCAACTATTTCGATGATCCGCACGATCTCGACGTTTTGGTAAAATTGGTTTATCATTCGTTAAGGGGCGTTAAGGACCGCTTCAAAAAATATTCCTCCTTCTTGAATGTCACGTGTGAATCTCTCAGAGGGTAAACTGATAAGTGTAACAACTTATTTCACTTTCTATTAATTTGTTAACTTCGTTGCACTAACACACGATTGATATTCAGTTGTCGAGAAACAAGTAACTTATCTACTCGTTCATCGGGAATGATTATTATTCTTCTGTGTTCTTGAATTTATAGAGTTGATTGATCAATATATATATATATATATCAACATTGATATACATAATATCGATCATTCATATATAATATAATATAATACAATCATATAATATAATATAATATATTATTATATGATATATTAATATTATATGATATATTATTATATAATATAATATATCATAATAATAAAATTTAATATATGATATAATACAATATGTTGGGTTGTAACATAAATTCGTTCGCTTTATGTATTTATTACAGTGATGTTACGTATAATTAAATTAATCACGCTGTTTTATACATGTACAATTAATTATTTACATTAATTATTTTATGTGAATTAATATAAATTCTAAAATAATATTATGTACGTTGTATTATAGAACATTTTACATTATTTTGTTAGGTCTCGATTATTTCGTGTCATACAGTAATTGTAGTAAATACAGAGAGAGAGAGAGAGAGAGAGAGAGAGAGAGAGCAAACAGATAAATTTACGTCACAACTCGACGTATCTACTTTGCCGGAAGTGCTTTCTAAAAAAATTCGAGAACACCTTGTCCCGTCAATTTTCCACTTCCTTGAATACTGTACTCTGAGAATTCCAAAATCCAAAAATGTTACAAATCTGCAAATAACATCGAAGGCGGTCAGCCCCTTTCTTCGTTTCACCAACAACTCTGAATTCTGATTCTGACTGAACGGCAGGCAGAGGGGGCGAAGTTCATCCACGAGATGTCGAAGACACCGACGATGAAGCGACTGATGGCCCGGCCAAATCCAAACAAACTGCCCGGCTGTTCATCGCACGCGTATCCGTCGTTGGACTACTGGCGTTGTTACGCGCGTTATTACACGATGACCATCTATCACCCGTGCGGCACGTGCAAAATGGGACCGTCCGCGGACAAGATGGCGGTGGTGGACGCGAGGCTGCGAGTACACGGCGTCCACGGGCTTCGAGTGATCGACGCGTCGATCATGCCGACGATCGTCTCGGGAAACACGAACGCACCGACCATTATGATCGCTGAGAAGGCTGCTGACATGATCAACGAGGACTGGAAGGTCTAACAACACTTCGCTTTTCCTTCTGTTCTCGAAATTATAGGTTAGGCGAGTGCCGTGTGGTCGATCTGAGCCTTCTTGAGACTATATTTCAATTTCATTATTCGCGTATGTAAATTATTTAAATCGAACGTGTTACGTGAAGAAAAATATCAAATATCTATATATATATATATATTTTTTTTAAATAGTTGTTTACACAGTGCATACATCGCTGCACAATTCCAATTGCATGAGTATTTCCTATCAGTTTATCTAATCGTAACTTGGACTGCGTTACAGCCTAGATCACACACCGTGTATATATATATACACACACACACGTTGGTCTTGAATTTTATCAGTATAATTATGATCGTCACAATGTCAATAAAAATTTAAAAATGTTTTGTTTAACAATTATATAATAATTACAGATTATCATATTAAATTATAATAATTCGCAATTGTGATTAATAATATTAAAATAATTATAAATTATTGTAAATTCACAATTAATTATGAATTACTAGTTACTACATGAATGAAACATGATATTACAAATATATTGCGATATCATATATATTTTATTATAATATTATTATAATTACACGTAAAACTGTAATATTATAAGATTATATATAAAATTATAATATTCAATGCAAAAAGCAAGGTTTTGCTTCTTTAATTAAGTAGAGGCAATGTAAAAACCGCGAGTGTATACATTCGTTTATTTGTTCTAGACAGTGTTCGCTCTAACTGACTTCATGATTTCAACCTACGATTTCTCGAGCCCGAACGATCACGCAGGCCGATCTAACTTTCCTCTATGTTCGCGCGCGTATTTTCCTAGCACGGTGGCCGTCCAATTAAAATCCTACTTTCAGCAGAAGTGAAGAGATTGTGAAACACAGTCGATCTGAACACGATTCGGTGATTCACTTCGGCCCGGTCCCCTATCTGCGTCCAGTTACTTTTATTTCAGACCGGCCAGGCGCTGGTTTTCCTTTCTTTCGTTCAGTTTTCAACAATATCGCTCGCTCAGTTTCGTCGGTGGAACCGGCTTTTGCTCGATCGTGTTCGCGTGCGGGCGTATTCATTACTTATACAAGGTGTCTCAAGTTCAAACGATCTGACTTCGTTGTTCATCACTTCAACTGTGATGATTTATAGAAAGGGAACATCGGACTTTAAACGCACAAATTCCACTTCTAACACTTGTAACAGTGTAAGTGAAATTTCGAAAATCGAAAGTCTACTCGTAGCTTCCCTCGAGGGGAATTCGAGAAAAATCCCGAGATTTATCGATCGGATTTTTTCCTTCTCCCACTTTGATCATCCTTCTCTCTCTCTCTCTCTCTTTTTTCGATTTTCATCGTTCAACGGGTTTGTGGATCGAGAGAACAGTTCGGGACGAAACGCGGAAGCGATCATGCGAATTCGTACGAAATTCGAGGATCTGTTAAGAACGACAGCACGGTGAAACTGGATGGAGATAGGATACTTTTATCGTCCGGTGAGTATCAATTGACGATACTCCAGGCTTTCGAATTATTTCGATCAGAAATATAATAGTGGAATCTCCACTTCTTTGATAACAAATCAAGTGCTCTCGAGTGGTCATTGTCTGTTGTTCACTTTAACTTTCCAGAGTGCCATTTCTTTTTAAATTTTTATATCCTACC